GCTTGCAGGGTGCTGGCCGCAGGCAAGATGCTTCCACTCGGGATAAAAAAACCGACATTTCGGGTTTTTAGACTTTCTGAAACCCTGGCATGATTCCCGCCTTCAATCTTCGGGTTGAATTCTGCGGGTGTTGGTGTTATACAACGGCCTCGAAATAGGGGTCGGGCTTGCGGAAAGCGTTGATGCAATCCTGCCCCGCGCCACTGCTCGGAAGGACCCCCTTTTCCCCCAGAGGGACCCGAATTCACACCAGTGACTGTCCCACGTGGAGGCCTGATACCAGGGTGAGGGCCTGGGACAAGCACCTTCCCTCCCTCACAAAAGCTTTCGATAGGTTTCCAAGGGGAAAGCGTGCCAAAAAAATGGAGCTTTCCCCCAGAATTTGTCTCTTTGTGACAATTTGGGGGTTTTCCCTTGATATTGTAAACAAATGAGGACGGATCCTGTGCAAAACGTTTTTAACAAGCTCCAGGGAGGAATAAAACCAGAGACCGGTTGGTAGCTCGGAGCTGGAAATATTAAACAGAAAGGGGGGACCTGAGGAGCAAATCCGGGGGGTCCCCAACCCTGCTGCCAGCTGGATCCGGCCCGTGCAAACCCCGAATCCATCACCACACCAGGGCCATCGCCCTGGCTCGTTCCTCCGCACCACCAAATGAGGGGCCTGTGCAAACAGAGCACCGGGGCCTCACCGCCTCGTCCATCCCGGGGACCCCCTGGACCGCCCCCCTGCCTTTTTACAGCCCCACGACCTCAGCCTGGCATCCATAGGGGGATATTTCGGGGCAGAAATGGGGCTGGGAAAAAGCATCCCAGCAGCCTTCCCTCCATCTTCCACCCCGGGGAAACTGAGGCACCACCCCAAAAGCCAGAGCGGACACCCCAACCCCTGCCACCCCCCTGTCCCTGGAGCTGCCCTTGTGCCGCCCGGCACTTTCCTGTTGCTTTAAGTCCCGGCCGTAGGGACGTGTGTTTTCCACGTGTAGATTTTTCCTTTTCCCCTTTTCCCCCCCTCCTGCCGCTTTCGTTCCCAGCCCTGAAGCCGGGGATGGAGCCAGGATGAGGCCAGGGGCCAAGGCCAGCCTGACCACGGGGGATCCCAGCACCGGGCCGTACCGGAGGGGCCGAATCCCCCCCGTGGGACCCCCCAATTCCTTGCATCCCCCAATATTTCTTTGCTTTTCCTTGCTTCCCCTGCTCCCGCCCGCGCTCCTCCCTTCTCCCCGCAGGGACTGGAAATACCAGAGTTGATGTAATAGGCAGCGGGGCGCTGGCCA